ATATTAATATTAATAAGATTAATAAAAATAATTTATACAAAGACTAAGGAATATTGAATCTGAAAAAGACTGCAGTTGGTGATTGGAGACAAATCTCTACCCTTGTCTCCTCGACCCCTCTTAATGAAGATGACGCGTTACGAGAGAATCTGCGGCGAAGCATGTGGCGGGCTAGATGGAAGAGAATGCAGACAAAATCGAAACTTCCAAATAATATTCAAATATAATTAATATATTTCAAAACTTAAAATAAAGTTTAGTTTTGCTTGTTTTTTAATTACATTATTTACAATCATAATTACATATATCTTTAAGTATTCTTTTTTTTTTGTCAAAAAAATAATTGCATATGTCTTACAAATTATTCTTCGTCTCGTCTCAATTTCATTTTATACTTGCCCACTTGCTAGCCTCTTATCTTTTCTTCTTTTCTTTTTATTTTTTATATTTGATTTTTTGATTAAAATTTACATCAAAATTAAGTTTATAGATCTTTTCTATTTATATACTCTCTAATCATTTTAAATATAAAACTTTACATTTAATTTAATTTTAATATAATAATATTTTTAAGTCACTTTCTATTTATGTAATAACTAGTTTTGAATTTGGTGAGATTGGTAACCAACATTTGAAAAAAAAAATAAATACACAAAAAAAAAATGGTCATGTCCGTTGAAAATAAAAATGAAACTTGAATTCAAGAATGGCATTGAGGAGAGTGTGAAAATAAGTGACAGAACTGAATAATCATCAATCATCATCAATGGTGCTTTTGAATTCTGATAATAATGGAGAGATTTTCGTACCTGTCCCGTTCACTTTGGCCACAAGAAATCTTGTTTAATTGATCGCTTCTTGTTCTTCTTGGACTTTCTTCACACTTTTAAATTTTACTATTTTCTTAAGATTAAATTATAAAATATTTTTGAATAAAATTATACATAATAATAAAGCTTATTAAACATATTTTATAATTTTATTTTTTAAAAAACAAAAATACCTTTCATTTAATACTTTATTTATATTTTAAAACATAAAATATTCTTAAAAAATATTTTATAATTTGAGACATATGAAATATTTGAAGAGGCCATTTAATTAGTGATGGCAAGTTGCCCAGCAGAATTTCACAATCTGTTCAAGAGATGACAATTTGTTCAACAAGCTTTGGGCCAATTCGCTCTTCGGCGAGTTTCCACCTCAACGACGTGACTTTGACGACGAGCTAATTGAGTTTAGAGAATTTGAGTGTTTGGCAATTTAGTTCGTGTTGAGAAAGAGAGAGAGAAGGATAAAGTAGGGAAATGGAAAATCTAATACGAAGGAAAATATATAAACTATAAAAAAAATTAATTTTAATTTTTAACATCTCAAAGTGCTCCATGAAACCTTTAAGAACACTTTTTAAAGGTTGAGAATTTTTTTAAATAAATCTTTAGGAGTGTTTATTTTCAAAGCATTACTAAAGATAAAGCCTTTCAAAGTATTTTTTTTTTTTAAAGCACTCTAAAATGTAGGCCTTTTGGAGCTTTTAAAGGGTCAAGTGATTTTAATTTTTTTAAATTTTTTAGTATTTTTTTATTTAAGTGCCTCGAAGAGACATTCTTTGAAAGTTTTTTATAGTTGTGAAAGTGTTCAATTTCTTTTGCTAAAAAGCAATGACATCTCTCTGGTCGAAATAAATCGTGAATATTGCTAATATAATATAATATCATAAATAACGAACCACTTGGCTGGTCCTTTATTTCATTTGGATTGCCATGTCCACACGAAACTAACACATCAGCACATCACCAAATCATTTGCATGTCTGACTCACTCCTTATTACACAATTGAAGTATATCTCAATTTTTGATAATGTACGCATAATTAATGTATTAATTACTTGTCACATCGACTAGCTTAGTTACCAAAATTAATTAATTAATGCGAATGAAAAAAATGGGAAAAACAATTATCTTGACAACACAGTTATATGTGCATGTCTCCATGGAAACTTGCCGACACGTCGGACCCCCTTTGCTAATTAACTTAATTATTTAATTAACGCTGAGTTTTTACTTCATTTTTAGATTTAATAATTTGCAAGTAATTAATAAGATATATCTGAATCAGAGGAAAAAGTGCAGTTGGGGGTTGGACACAAATCTAATTAATGAAGAAAACGCATTGGGATAGAAGCTGTGGCGAAGCATGTGGTGGGCTAGGTGAAAGAGAATGCAGACAAAATCGAATCTTTCAAATAATATTCAAATGTGATTAATATATTTCAAAACTCAAAATAAGGTCTGGCTTTACTTGTTTTTTAATTACATTATTTATAATCATGATTGTATATATCTTATAAATTATTATTCATCTCGTCTCCATCTCTTCTTATACTTGCCCACTTGCTAACCTCATGTCTTGTCTCTTTTCCTTTCTTTCTTTTTTCTATATTTGATTTTTTTTTGTTAAAATTTACTTCAAAATTAGGTTTATAGATCTTGTTTATTTATATACTCTAATCATTTTAAATATAAAACTTCACATTTAATTTAATTTTAATATAATAATATTTTTAAGTCATTTCCTATCAATGTAACGACTAGTCTTGAATTTGGTGAGATTGGTAATCAGTATTTGAAAAAAAGTAAATATATAAAAAAAATGGGCATGTCAATGGAAAATAAAAATGAAACTTGAATTCAAGAATGGCACTGAGGGAAGGCCATGTGAAAAAGGTTTGAGATCCAGAGTGAAATTATTAGAGAATCTTAATGTGTGCTTTCCCTTTTGATAAATCATAAACAAAAATGTGATGAGGTTTAAAGTTTTCACCTTAATGACATAAAATCATACAAGCATTGATATAAATGTTTGGTGATGCTTTGGGCTTTAAAATAAGAAAATGGGTAGACAAAAAGTGAGACAATGAAAGCGAGTTTGAGTAAGGTGATATAAGACAAATTAATATTATATTGAGAATGCTTGAAGCTTGTCAACTTAAATTTGTTTCTCTCTTTTATTTAAAATTAATATAACTAAATATATAACATTACAAATATTAATGGCACACATATATAATAGGAGCATTAGGAAACATTTTGGAGGCCTAATGCAGAAGCCTCGCTTGCCTTGCTATTTACACGGCCTTGCATTGAGGAGAGTGTGAAAATAAGTAACAGAACTGAACAATAATCAATCATCATCAATGGTGCCTCTGAATTCTGATAAAAATGGAGAGATTGTCGTGCCTGTCCCTTTCACTTTGGCCACAAGAAATCTTGTTTAATTGATCTCTTCTTGTTCTTCTTGGACTTCCTTCACATTTTTTAATTTTACTATTTTCTTAGGATTAAATCATAAAATATTTTTAAATAAAATTATACATAATAATAAAGATTATTAAATATATTTTATAATTTGAGTTTTTTAAACAACAAAAATACCTTTCATTTAATATTTGATTTATAAAATAATATTAAAAAAAGAGAATATAATATGAACAGTAACATTGAAAAAGTATTATTAATAAAATTTTATTTTTATTAAAGTGTATTATATTTTAAAATGTAAAATATTGTTAAAAAATATCTTATAATTTGAGACATATGAAATATTTAAAGAGGCCATTTAATTAGTGACGGCAAGTTGCCCAGCAGAATTTCACAAACTTAGTTAATGACTTCATGTTTATCCTTCCGCATAATTAATTAAGAATCAATGAGCTAGATCCTTAGTTTCAACGTTGCTTAAAATCTCTCTCCAAGTTGATCATTCATTTGTTGAAAGTGAAGGATTTGAAAGCCACAAGAGGATGGTGATATATATTACTTTCTCTATATCAAATTATAAGATGAGGTTGAAAAAGTTTGTGCATACCAATAAAATATATTAATAAAACTTTACAAATTTATTTTTTTAAATAAAATTATAAAGTTTAAAAAATATCTCTACATACCTATCCATTGCACTATCAAATTAGTTTAGTTCTTTTTCAACTTAGAGGTTAATATTTGAAAGATATCATTAACAAAACCTCACTTTTTTCAAATTATTTTATAATAATGTACCTCTAACTTTATCTTATAATTTAGAAATAGGGCTTTGTAATTGTAAATTTGTAATTGTCTAGTAGTTGAGTGATATCATTCATTAAAGGTTAACCACCAAAGTATCAGTAGCCAAAACATTCCTACTCCAATACTCCATCCATCTCAATTTATTTGACACTTTTGAAATTGATTTTGTATCAATACATATAACATATTTTGATAAAAATAAAATTTTATAAACTATATTTATTCTAATACTACGTTTCCCTCTTTAGTAAAAATAATATTTCACAAATAAAATTATAGTAAATAGATGACATTTTTAAAAATTTATATTTTTATTTTAAAAAAATAAAGTTATAAAATGCATTTAATAAATTTATTGATATATATAATTTTATTTAAAAAAGTCTTATAAATTAGTACAGTAATATTCTTCATCCCTCGTCAAATTAATCCATAACTAATTAATTTTATTTCCTTTTCTTTAAACCAGGTTGTTAGCTCTTACAGTACAACCATAAAATTTGGCTTGATTACATGTTTATAAATCAGGAATAACAATTCTTTCATAAAATATATCATAATGTTAAAGTGAGATACAAGAAATGTTAGGTTTATAAATTAAGGAAATGTACTCCTAATCTTAGATATATAAGGCAAAAAATGTGGTAGTTAATTTTTTTAATATAATCACACTTTAGTTACACCAAGTTATAATTTCCTCAATAATTTCTAAATTTACATTTTATTATGGTTATTAATAATAGCAAAATATAAAATTAAAAAATAATATATCTTTTACAGGTTTAAGTATATATTAATTATTATTTATTTTTTTTGAATTAATTATTATTATTTCTTTAAAATCGTGAAGTTGATTATCAAACTCTGTAATTAAAATAGGTGGAAATGTGCGTGTTACGTAAAATTAGATCTGAAAATTGTATCACCAAACAAAAAGCAACAATAATATTTTTATTATTGTGGGCCCACCGTTTCTATCTCCACAATCCACATTCACATGAAACACTCTGTTAGTCTGAACAATATGAAGAAAAACAGAAAATTGAATTTGACCACCGTTTAGGGATTTACATGACTGAACAGCCCTGTGGGTTTTCTTCGCTGAAGTACTGATCACACCGGCTGACGTAGACAGGCCTTCCTCCGCCGCCGTAGCTGTCGTATACCGGCCTTCCATAATACCCGTCGTAAACGATGGCAGGCTGACCGTACCCATGGTAGTATGGCCCACAAGGATACGGCGTAAACACCATTCCCGCCGGAACCGCCACCGGCGGCTGAACCGGGACCGGACCGGGACTCTTCGGCTTGGCTTCCGCGGGCTTGTCAGCAGGTTTGTCAGCGGGCTTGTCCTTTGGCTTGTCGGCAGGTTTGTCTGCGGGCTTGTCCTTGGCCTTCTCGGCTGGTTTGTCGGCGGGCTTCTCCTTAGGCTTCTCGGCGGGCTTGTCCTTGGGCTTCTCGGAAGGTTTGTCAGGCTTTTTGGCCGGCTCGACGATCTCAATGCTCTTGATAGCACCTCCTCCTTTGCAGCAGATCTTGTCTCTGATCTTCTCCGGGTCACAGCACACCACAGTAATGTTCACCACGTTCTGCTTATCGTCGAACCTCTGGTCTCGAACTTCTGGCCGTACGGAAGAAAATAAGAAGAATAAGAAAGGCGAAATTGAGGAGCGAGAAACGAGAGAGAGAGAGAGAGAGAGAGAGGGACTGACGAGGGATTTTGCAGAGAACCTTCTTGACCTTCTTGTAACACTTGGAGCACTGAAGGTCAACGTTGAGCTTCATGTCAGTGACCTGAAGAGTGAGAGCAGGGGAATTCAGATCATGGTTTGCAGAAACTAAAAAGAACAATAAAAAGAAGAAGGAGAAGAGGGTATTACCTTTTCAGCCATGGTGGAGAGAAACCGATAGAAGGAAGAGAAGGAAAGTGACGATGGGATCGGTAGGGAAGAAGAGATAGAGAGATAGAGAGATAGAGAGAGGGGGGCTTAAGAAGAGAGTGTGTTGTGAATGTTGTCGTGATGTGTGTGTGTGTGTGTGTGTGTGTGTGTGTGTGTGTGGTATTAAGAAAATTGAATGAAAGGCTGCTTGTATGAAGTGTACTCCTCCGGTTCAGTACATAGATAACTTTCTAGAAACATAATTTAATTTATTTTATAAATTACAAATAAAATTATTTTATTTTAAATTAAAATTCTTAAATTATTTTTAAAAAGTAAAAAAAAAAGATATAAAAATATAATATTATATAATTAACTTATCTTTTATTTTTTATTTAAAATTTATATGAAAAATTTTATTTATTTTTATTTTTTATATTTTTATTATAATATATTGATAAAATTGATAAAAATAATTTATAAATAAAACTGAAATATATATTATATTGAATAATTTTCCTTTCGAATGGTTTGACTCCACCTCCCGTCGGTGTCGGGCCCATGTGCTGCCCTTTTCCCTTCGATTCACCCACCTCATCTTCCTTCTTTCTCTTTGTTTTGTGCACCCGGTATTTTGGGTTCCGTCCCACGATGAGTTGAAATTACTTTAATGGGATTCCCACTTGTTCAGGTTGAGCCGAGCCAAGACCTTTTGGGTGGGAGATGACTTCTGATTGATACAATTCTTTTGTTTTTTGGGATCAAAATTTGATACAACTTTTTTATTCACTTGAACCACCACCTTTTTGCCCCCTCCTTGATCCAACGTTAAGAACCTTACTTATTCCTCACAAATTACCACTTACATTGTTATTAAGAGCCCACCAAGATAACATCAGCTGAATAGGCTGTTTGGAGTAACTGTAAAAATCATTGTCATAAAACAAAAATGATTTCCTCATAAAAAAAATATGTAATTCATTTGCTTTCTCTACGTAAAAATGTATATAGTCTCCTACATTGTTTAGATTTTTTTTTTTTAAAGGTTTTGTATCTTTTTTATCCTGAAGGCAGTAAACTGCAGGATAAGTATAATTTTTAATTGTCACTTTAATAAAAATTATAATTTAAACTAATGGGGCATAAATAATTAATTCAAGTCAAAATTTTTTTTTCTCCTAAAGAGAATTCAAATCAAATTTTGATTCCTCCACATTCCTTTTGAACTAGAAAGGATTTAAGTTCAAAGATGACACACATGCCTCCAATTAAAAATGAATAAAATTTATAAACATCCAAGTGACATCTTAATTTGTCTATTGTTTAAATAACACCTTTTTCTTTCTTTTTCTTTTTTTTTTTCTGAAGAACTTTGTGGAGTTCAAATTGTGGAATTGTTTTGTTTATCACTTCTAGCCATCAATGCTTATTATCACAGCTTACAGCTCATTTTTATATCCTCTGATCAAAACATGATAAAAATAGGTGAATCGGTGCCAAACCTGAGGAATATTAAATTAAGGATGGTGGAATTGGTTAAAACCATGACCTGTAAAGGGATTGAGTTATTAATGGAGAGAGAGAGAGAGAAAGGTGTTCAAATCTGTGGGACACACCCACACGCACAAGAGTCGAAATCGGCATGTTCCTTCAAAACAGAGAAACCTCAACAAACCATCATACTTTATTTGCTGCACCGACCTCAATTGTTGCTTCCTCCATCCTTTTATGTTAGCTAGGCATTCCCAAACCCTTCAACCTTGAATAATGTTATGCACATATTAATTGAATATCATATGTTCATTTATTTATAAACAGACAATATGGCAGTTTTATATCTATTAATCTTATTTATAGAGAGAACTAAATTATTTGGGTGTGGGATGTAGATTAATGATTGTATGGGAATCTTTTTGATTCAAAAATGAACTTTCTGTTTTTATGATTGTCTTTCTTTGTTTCGGGGGACGAAAGGAAAGCTCCGTCCTTGAGACCACAAGCTGGCCATCTGATTCTGATCTAAAAGTGCTGTGAGTGAGATCAAAACTTGCTAGGAAAAGGAAAAATCAATTATTGTTCATTGCAGAACACAAAATTCTGTTAGACACTTGTTGGTTGGGATAGCTTTTCATTCCCCATCAGTTTTCATGTCTCTTATTATTATTGTCAGTTCCTTCTCTCTCTTCCACACACATCATTAATGCATACAACAACAATTAATAATGAAGAATTCCAATTTAATTTGTCAATCCCTTTCAAAGCAATGAAGAATCACTGTTCATTCTCAAGAGAAAAGAGACATCAACTTACATTGAATTTAAATAGCTGATACAGATAAGACCAGGTGCCTAACTCCTATGCAGCTATTACATAAAGAGGCCATACAGAAGTAGTAATCTTGTAAGTATAAATCTTCAAAAACCAGAAAGCAAAGGGCATTTGCTTGGCTATATTTCACCAATCATCTGCATCTTTTGGCCATTCTTCCTTTCCGTACTTGAACAAGAAACGTTGTGACAAATGCTTTTCAGATATAAAACAGTATTCTAATAATTTGCTATCAGTCTACAGCACCTTCATATTTTAGAGTTTGTGACCACCTTTCATGGCTTTTGTTTCATCAGATAAGAGAAACTCCGGATTCCTATGAATCAGTCACCCGTTCCGTCTTCATGCCATACCAAATTCCATGGTCCACTTTTGCTGCTCAACCTTAATTCAGAGTGTCGAGATGAGATTTTAAAGATTAGCAAATAGCAATATAATAAGAATCTTGTCAAGAAAATTTAACTCATCTACCATATAGTGCCCTAGAAATGGAGAACAATAGAGTTTTTTTTTTTTTTTTCGGTATCATACAGAATGAAGGAATTTCTGTAGGACCAAAAGGATGGATCTTTTGGTCAGTGGATAGTATTTTGAGTACGAGCGTTGTATATTATATGGAGTCTCTCACAATATCAAAGACTATACCTCCATGCTCCAGCAAGAACACGTAAAGTCATAAAGAGAAACAGCCCTGTCCAGACTCCAGGAAGTCCAAGTACCGGAGCAGCCACCAGCAGGAACACTGATGAAATTAGTCCTACGATCAACTAGTCATCAAAAGCCAAGATAAGAAGGGGGTAAGAAAATAAAGAAATAAAAATGATAATAATAAAAAAGGAATTTTAGGATTAAAACCAATGAAATGTTGAAATCTCTCAACTACTGGACTAGGAAATTACCATAGAGTAAAAAGCATATTCAAAGTCTGACACCCCATAGTAAAGCCCATCAATAACAAATGCCAAAGCATTTACTGGTTGAGATCCCGCAACAAACTGAAAATGAGTACATGTCAAATCCTTCAACAACGCAATGAAACAAGTGTCCATCCACAGAAATAGAATATTTTGCCACATGTTACCAAGTCCCATTGATTTCAAGCTATTCAAAAAGGTTGCAGCACGAAAGAGATGATGGAGTAGAACAAGACAACAGTCCCACTCTATAGATAAATTGCAATATAAACATACATCAAAATGTAGCTTGACACTTACAGTCATGCAATCACTAGAAATGTTCTCATTGTCTTCTACCTTCCACAAGAACTAATTCAGCAGCATGCAATAAATGCAATTGCTAAACTTGCAAAATCTTCAGATCCAAGAGTAAGTTCATAACATAAATTATTGAAAGTACTCTATTGGCCTATCCAAAGAAAACAAACTCTAATACTGATGAGGTTCTTTCATACATAGATAGTTAATTTTCTTTTCCTAAATTCTGTATGAATTTTTTTTTTAATAGAAAATCTCTATTCCCATGCAAGTGAACGAGGTTAAGACTAGTATAAAGACCAATGTGTGTCAACCAGGACGTGAAGTAAAGATTTCGAATGAGATTAAGGTATTTATTTTTCAAACAATTATGATTTCTCACCAATAAACCAGACTGAGCAATATCCAGAACCTTTGAGTCTGTGCTGAATAAGCTGGAAAATGCTCCAAACCCAGGGAATAAGATCATTGATAATGCAATTCCTGTCACCAAACCAATCTGCTAGTTAAATGGACAAAAGAAGGGGAAAAGAACAGAAGGTTAGTAATTGTTCCCATCTCATTTTAAAGAGGGCATGACATTATAAGGAAAGAAATTTATGGTGACCATGACCGTTGACCTGTAAAACTCTATATACAATAAGGCGAGCCTGCTCATAATTCCCTTGGGAGTAATCCCCAGCAAGCAGAGCCTGTAAAGGAAATATCAATACAACAACAGAACAAAATAGACTTCAGCTAAAATCCCCGGACTTAATTTCCACCACAAATATAAAACAATATCTAAAAAAGATACAAACAGCCAAACATTATAAACAACCTCTTGTCAAGGTAAACAACAATGCTGATTAAACACACAAGAGCTGCCATTTCATGCATGAGAAATATGTTTGCATTTGCCCCTATCCACAGGATGCTGAACATTATAGATGAATTGAAAGAAGGAAATAATGAGAAGAGGGCTACAAAACAAGGAACCAAAGATATTCAGTTGCTGCAACCTTTTACCATTCCATTTCTGTAGCAACAACTGCCCTTAGCCCACCCTCCCACCTAAAAAAAAAAAAGAGGAAAAGGAGCAATCCATAGACCAGACAATTATATGATTCTAAATTCATGCATGTATAAAAAATTACGAGTAACCCCTTATGAAATACATTTTAATCAATTGATAAGATGCAATGCCATCATTCTTGTAAAAATTTGTACTTTAACATCCAATGTGAAATTATTTTACCTGACCAGCAAGTGCCAGAGCATCAGTCAGCAAAGACATTGACAACCAAACTTGCATGCAAATTTGATGACCAGCCATAGGTACAGGACCCAGTCTGGCTGCCATAGAGGTCGCCAGTGTTATAGTCACAAGCACAGCCATGGTCCTACCTGTAAGAAGACCACCTGAAAAATGCAACATGTAAGCTTGTCAGGACTTTAAAGAAAACAAAATATAGGCAGTTTGCACAATATGTTAAGGGAAAAATTTACACTAGTTTACTCAGGTAGTGTCATTCATCAAGTCATAGAAGCCAGCCAGGGGGTAAAAAGCTCAAAACTCATCAAACTCGCACTTTGTCGCTATAATCTAGAGAACTTGCAAGACCACAAAAGATATTGCAGTTTTAAGATGCATTTAATCCAAACTATTCAGTAATTAATTCCTGTTCTCTACAAGCATTCACTAAGGAAGGTTGTGTTAGTCTCAAAAATAAATTCAATTAATCGGACCTAGAAAACCACTAACTATTCAATAAATATGTTTAATAGCTGTCTTCTTCTATCAGTGATCTAGGTTGATAATTCTAATGTTGATATTACTCGAAGGATAAGGACAGTCAAAGCAGCAAGGCAACATAACTTAGAAAGTGAAATACCAGATTTCAGGTAGCTGAAAATTTTTCTCCCATCAAAGTCAGAAGGAATTAGCAGTACTTTGTCACTCAATTTCCATAAAAGAATAAAAGCAATTAAATATCTGGCAAACAAAAAAAGATAGATTTGATTAAAAGGGAGAAACACATAAATTAGGACAACATGTGCTTAATGCAGTGGTAATGTTAAAGTTTACCACATTTTAGACGTACTCAGAAGTCACAGTTGCAATAGCAGCACCACTAATGCCAAGACCAAAAGTAAAAATAAGCATCACATCCAATATGGCGTTAAGTAAGTTGCCAGCACCTGGCATCCAAAAGGAAGAACTTGTCATTCAATAATCAATATACACTCGAGCAAATTATTATCTACCCAGTAGCCTGATTTGCATTTTACATATGCTTATGGAATGCACTTATCAGAAATTGAAGTACCTGAAACATATTACTAATTAGTTAGATAATTGGAGAGAGCGTATTTAATTATTTATAGTGGGAAGGTACAGTCATAAGGGTATGAGAAGAAACATTAGGTGCTATATGCATAATTCATTTTTTAGCCTTTCAAATAACATTGTATTGAGCATGTGTTCAATTCCAAAGCGCATGAATTCAACAGGACATACACTTAGGAAAAAAAGAAAAAAAAGGTTTGTACTTTGAAGTGGTCCTGTTTTCAAAACGTTAAATACTGTGCAGCTATCCATGATAGTATATGTAACAAAGAAAGGAAAATTCAGGGTCCAGATAATACAAGCCTGGGATCTCTAATACACAATTCATTTGGTTACTTTCTGCCAGTGAATGCTTGTTTGTCAGTTAGATCTTCTCTCTCTTATTTGCATCTATTTCCTTGACTTTGAAACATATGTTCAATTTCTCATATTGAAATACTTCCGAGGCCTGTCAATTCTAGATAACTAAAAGGGGTTATTATTGCAAAAGCACCCTCATCCGTTTTTTAAAAAGGTGGGGGGTGGGGGTGCATCTTCAGCTTAACTAGCATGACGACGTAGGCGAACATAGAAAAAAACGTGCACATAGGGTGGGGTGGGGGAGAGAGATAAGTTGCTTCAATACTTGCCGATGGCATATAAAGGTGTCTTCGTATCCAAAAATCCACGAAAAGTGCCTTGTGCAGCTAGTGCAATCACAACAGGTGGAGCACCAAAGGCCCTCAAGGTAAGAAACTGTTCAGCCGGTGCATGCATTGGTGAATCCTACAACGCATAAAATAAAACTAATATAATGTTAAGTATAGGCATAATAATCTTTCTAAATAGAAATTCAAATTTTATAGCCTAAATCATCTTGTTTCCCGATTCCACAGCTAAACCCCCCCCCCCCCAGGGGGAGGGGGATGGGGGGCTCCATTTCAGACATTTAGATAACTCAGAAGTATTATAATATAAAGAAATATAACAACAACACGAAGTGATGTGTGAATCAATAGTCAGCCAAGGATGACATACAGCAGGTATACCCATGATATTCACAAGGATGCCAGAGCCAAAGCAAAGGGTCACAGCTTCAGCAATTCCAAGGCTTGCAGCAAGTAATAAAGAAGTTGACACTGAAGGAAGTAGCATCTTGCTTTGGTGCTTACCCAGGACCTCTTCGTTTTAGACAGATGAAGATCAAAACGCATCAGCACACACACACACACATGAATAAGCCATATAAAACCCATTTGCAAGCCAAGAAAAACTAGAGTTTGGTAGCTCTCTTGAATACATTACCATTATCATTACTTTGATCAGAGTCTTCTTCCTTGCGAATCAGTGCCTGCTCCTCAGCAACAAAAGACGTAGTGATGTTAAGCAAAGGAACATTGAAAACTTTTGACACTAGATTAAACACAGATGCTGCAGCCCCCACTGATGCCAATTCAACCGATCCTGCATGGAGAGGTCTAGTGATAACTATACTGACTATAAGTCAGTAAAAACAGGAGAAAATCCGTTTGTTGCAATCAAGATCATCGGCTTGACCATTGACCAATGGAACGATTATTATTAAACATTCCCACCGGACCAATATACAAACTCAAGTAGTTGGAATGATTAAGGTCACATTAAAATCACGTCTATCCTTTTTTTAAAGGAGGGGAGTGGGGTTAATTGAACCCCAAATAAATTTTAAAACTTCAACGATCATAAACTCACTTCCATAGAATTACCTATATGGCCAACGAACGCTGTGTCAACCAATGAGGCAATGGGATCAGCGGCCAGAGCCAACACAGCAGGTAGTGCAATGGACAATATATCCATCCCGAGGATATCAAGTTTAAGCCATTCATTTCTGTCCAAAACACCAGTTGCATCAGGAACCATTAAAAAGGTGAAAATTTTCAATTTCACATAATCCACTATTGGAATTCATTATTTACCATACAGTACCTGAAACGACGAAGCAGAGTAGAGGAATCAACTGAAGATGAAGAATCCTGGGGCGGAGTGGGTTTGGGGGAGCTTGCTTCCAGCGAAGTTGTACTGTTTTTCTGGGGAAAAGATTTGGGTGCTATTCTTAGGCGAGCAAAGCAATGACCTTTTGCTAGCGTTTGAGATTTCGATAACGTGTTCACTTGCAGAGATTGCAAAGGAAGAAAATTATGAGAAAGACTGGACGCCATTCTTAAGCGTCAGAGAGAGGAAAGAGTGGCGCCCTGGAGAGACAACAAAATCGCATCTTCATCTTGCAAGCGAGTTTTGAATTTAACGAATAACGAAAATGAACGGTGAGAGTAAAAAGAAATAGTAATAAATATCTGGGTTCGGTGGGCCATTTTAGTGTTTGAGTCTCATATTTGCATAAGTGGAAGATTCAGAAAGATTGCGACTTTCCTTGTTTCACGTCTTGGCCAAGAAATTTTCCAAAATTCCTTCTGAACCGCAAGACATGGGATTTTCTCTCCCCCCCCCCCCCCCCCCCCCAAAAAAAAAAAAAATTCATGGGATGAAACTGGCTTATGAGTCTCGATGACAAGGCTAACCTCTAGATTCTTGAACCAATGAATTAGATTGACCTTGACTTGAATCAAGAACCAATCAAATTCACCAATCACCGGGAATAAATTCCCCCATCTTATTTTGACCCAAAAAAGATCTTTTTTTTCCCCTTTATAACCAAGTAATTTGGTCCAATTTATTTCTCATTCAAATTAAGCTGAAGTGCTGAACTAAACATTTAAGTTCCCTAATCGTCCAAGCAAAATATTCTAAGCAAATGCGCGCGCGCGCGCACACATATATATATATATTTCATGCTCTTTTCCAATCAAATTAGAAATCTGCATTTTTTATATTCTTAATTTATTAGCATTTTAATCTTTCTTACGTTTAAAGTTCATTTGTTCTAATTTGATTGAATAATATATATATATATATATATATATATAAGTATCTATTTAAACGATAGTATTGAATTAATATTATCAAATTCCGCATGGTCCCATGGTGCTCTGAAACTGACAACAGCTTCCGAAATCACGTACGACATCATATAGTGTTACAAATCATTAGATAACAATGAAGGACCCAATCAAATTATCACCCACCCCCACATGCACTTCATCATTCATGACGCAACTTGTGGTTTGTAAGAACTTGTCGCCCCTTAGGTTTTCACATTTGCCATTTAAAAAGTACTTTTAAAATGTAATTTAAAAGTAAATATTATTTAATTTTTTTTCAATAACTTTAACAGTAATTTTGATAAATATATATAGTAGTTTTGAAAGTTCTTTTTCTAAATACAACTATAACTTGCTTTTGCTTTTTCATGTATTGAAAGTGGTGCATTTATCAAAGAAAAGACATTTTTAACTATCTATTTTTGTCCATAATCCCTTGATATGCATGGTTGCATTATTTGCATTTATATTTTTATTATATTTATATTATGATTGCATTATTTACATTTATATTTTTATTATATTTATACTATCTCATATTTATGTTAGATATCAAAATAAACATTACAAGTTGAATAATTAATTATATTCATATTTAGCATTAATCTATATTGAATTATGATATATATCTTATTTGAATTATGTTAATTTTCAAAATTAATATATGTTGAACTATTTATTATATAATTTTTTTCATTATATCAAAGTTTTTATTTTTTTTATTTTTATTGTTTAACACATCAAATTTTATATTATTTAAATCTTTTTCACATTTTTTAATCATTTTAATATATTATATTTGTCTAACAAAAATTATAAATCATCATAAATTAATATTCTTTATGATAATTATACATTCAAAAGCACATTTTACTATCATAATTCAAACAACTTTCAGTTTACTAAACTGACTTTTGAAAAAATATATCCAAACATAAATTTCATTACAATAATCGACTTTTACTAAACTGACTTTTGCTAAATGAACTTTTAACAAATAAACTTTTAGTTAAACTGAAAACCAAACACACCTAATATTAACATTTAGTTCTCTAAAAGAGTGATTCTTGCATATCAGAGTGGGGAAAACAAACAACATTGTTAGGTGAGTTGAACAACATCCAAGTTATTTAGGCTTTAACCTCTTAACCAAAATCTGCAATCAAAGTCATTTCACAGCTTATTACTGAAAGTTTTGAATTTTGAATAATCAGTCAAATAGAAGATACAATCAACAAAAAAACCACATATAATCAACTCATTCTTGCATTTGACTGATCAAAAGCAAAATGCTTTACATGACTCCCATGGGCAGAGTATTTTATTAACATGGGCATAGTAAAAGGAAAATCAGCATCAATTTACTTGGATGCACCTTCCTCCTTCTTCTCTGACAAGTACCTAAATAGAGCAACATATCCATACAAACTTAGAGATGGAAGTAGAACCATAATTGTATGCGTAAATTTTCATGATCAAATGCTATGAAGTTCTTTAATAAAAATATCACATATGAATAATTTTCGAGACTGTACACTAGGATTGGCTTCTCAACAAAATTCTTTCACATGTCAAAGAACTTGATAACAAACATTTTGAAATTGCACCAAATTTGTTTTTCTTTCAAAGAGACACAAAATTGAACAAGATATAGTTGTTGGGACTCAATCACATGCTCAGCAGCTTACCCGTTTCCCTTTGCCCAGCGGGAGAGTTGGTACAGTTGCACAGTCTCATTTGAAGCATGACAAGCGAGCAGCAGATAGTTGCGTGGTTGGACCATCCATGCAAATCTCATGAACAAAGCTGAATATACACACATTGCTGCAGCGCGAACACATGCAAGAGGGAAATTTAGCCAGCATACAAAGACCAAGCTTAGGTGCATTTTTTAGATATTTGCTATCATATTTTCAAGCATAGGTGCAGTTTTCAGGTATTTGCTACCATATCTTCTTGCAAAAACATAATGAGTGGATATTTTTAACAACACATCACATAATTGGCTCTTTGAATGTCCTTCACATATTAGAGTTTTATTGAAAAACTTGACAACAAACAACTAAGGACTCCATTGAAGTCGTGTCCAATTCCAAGTTCTCAAGAATACAGATAGTTTCAACCTGCAGTCATGTTGCCTGAGATCATTTCGGGAGGCTTATTCATGTCCGCCAGCCCCTGTCACGAAATAGCATTCCAAACTTGGTCATGAAGGCATAAAACGAGAACAGGTAATCTGGTATAATAAGAACAATTGCAATGTCCTTTAATCTAAAAACAACCAAATAACTAGAACAAATAATCAAAGCAGCAAAACGTACTGCAGCAACAAATCCCCAATTGGCAACAGGTCCCCAAAAATGGGTTGTTTTTGGACCAACTGGACTGTTCAGGAATGCTCGGAAAGAGGCCGCCATGTCAATACAGATGCTCAAACAGAACTAACTGTCAAGAAAAATAAGTTAGATAGTTGACATAATAGCAACACAATATCACATAGTCAGCAGTAAATGGAATGACTTGAGCATTTACAGCAGAAGATCGATTCAAAAAAAAAAAAAAAAAGCAGCTAGAAAGCAGGGTGACAGATGGACTGAAGCTTTTATTCTTACTTTTAACCTTGCCCAAAAACCAAATAATGGGAAAGGAATTAAGCAATGAATATATATCACTATATAATTACCTCAGTCCTTATTAATGATACTGAAAGAACGATGATATCTTCATTGATTGTCCAACTCTCAGTATCCAAAGGACAGCTCATGTCAGAAAATCACTCCATATCCTCATTAAATGTCTGACCCTGATGGCCGGAGATCTTATTTTTAAAACTTGCTAACCGCTAACAATGCATTTCTATCAATCCAACATTATGACACACTTGACCTGAAATCACCCATATTTTCCATCATGAAGTCTAACAAAATTAGATGCAAGTGTGCTATTTTTTCCTCCGTGACACTGGTAATTATTCAAAAACCAGTGTTCCAAAAAGAAAATCTACTCAAAATTTCCTTTAAATCCAATTCTAGTATTATGACCATGGAAAGAAGAGGCAACTATGTCAATTTAGAGATTCTTCTTAATCAGTTAGCCAAACCGCTATCAGGAGCCAGAAGTTATTAGTACCACTATATGATCAGGCATGCCTTTCATACAAGGACTTCTGGTCCTTTCTTTCCCTTAAGATTAAACAAACGGAACTGATTTGTGTGCACACTGAACACATGCTGCTACAATCTAAGCATCATGTAAAACAATAGCTCACAGCTAGAAGTTAATGCACACCGCTGATTATAATTAATTCAAATGATAGCATATACTTGGTAGAACTATACAAGTGTCCCTGTGCTCATAGGCGGACCTATATTACATTCAGTGCTGGCATCTGCTCCCGCTTAAATCTTTGAAATATGCGTAGCTGATATAATACCCTTTTAATTTTTGTTCCAGATAGTTTAACACAACTGGCCAAGTATTTACAAGTTTATATATCACAAATACCTTGGGAGTTGTCTAAATTGACGATAATATAAAGAGATTAATAGCCAATACAACACACATCCAACGTTGCAAAACAACACAATCCAAAGCATACAATTCGCTAGTAATCAAAATGAAGAAAGCAGAAGGATAATGGCCAATTACATATCATTCAAGGAAAAACTAGTTAAAAAAGGAATTTAAACTCAATCCGTAAATATTCCCAAATTCAAAAGCGTCTACACGACCAGATTCAAAATCAAATTAGAATGAAAAATTCAAAACAAAGCAAGAACAACCACGCAAGTAACAGATGACGCGGGGAACAAATTCAAATCTAGATTCAAAGCAAGATTGAACAAATCAACCTCACAGGATTTTGGGAAAGCCCTAGAGTTCCAACCTTCCTCACTACTTGCCCGAGAACAACTACGCAGGGGTGACAACTGTGGACGGCGTCCAACAGAGAGTGGAATGCCCGCTCGTCGACGAAGAAAAACGAATCCGCTGCTTGTGAGTTCTCACTACGAGGTTGTGTATTGTGTTTTCCGGAGTTATAATTAATTTTTTAGAGTTGCGTAAGAGAATTTATGCGAAGAACGTGGTCCTATACTATAATGTGAGCAACTCTACTTTTAAATATTGGAATGATGATATAGCACTCGCATTTTCAAATTATCTTATTTATAATTAATTATATCATTTCACTACACCTTAATGCTAGGTTTTATTTTCTGCTTTTTTTTCGGACTTTGAACTCATTTTTTCACCAATGCTTTATTTTTGTTCACTGCAGTAAGATACTCTGTTTTATTTTTTCTTATTTTTGTGGTTAGTGGTTATAATTTTTGGTTAATGTTACTCTTGAAGTTTATTTTCCCTTCGTATGATTAGGCATAGTCTTTAGTTTCTTTTAGTTAATTTTTGTGACTATACATTTTGTAATTGTCATGTCTCTTTCTTTTTTTATTTTAACATTTAATTTAACACATTAGTATCCCAACACTGTGATTGAACTATCAAACATCCTTGATAGCTTAAACTTATGTTGGGAGTGCTATTTCTCTAAAATTAATGATGACTCTAACTCTCTTAAAACTTGCATGCTTATTTAAAATAATCTCACCACAAACCATCCCCTTGTTGGCACTCTCAATAACATCGGAGATTTGGCTATAAGAGATTGAATGATCAATTTTAGAGACAAGTTTAGAAAAGTTAATAAGTGTATAGATTGACAAACTTATTAAGCTTCAAACAATGATGTTGAAATTAAAAATTTTTACGATCCATCCCATTGATGCAAAAATTATATAATATTTGATATGAGCTTAACATTTTTTTTGCACAATTTGTCATGGCCATGTATTAAAAAAAAATTAACACTATTACATAATCAATAGCTTAGTATTGTGAGTACTATGTTGTCATCCCTCTTGGCATATTTTAAAGAGAGAGAGTAATGTTGTAGATAAGAAAAATTAGAGAAACCTAGAGCAATAAAAACAAAATACAAGGCTAATAATAAAATATGATAAAACTATAAAAATTAATAGTTATATTTTTTTCAAAAATAAATACTCGAAGGATAAAATTAAATGAAAATGTAATTGTTGATTTTTATGTTTTTAGTGTGTTTTGACATTAGTTTCTATATATATATATATATTTACTCCAAATCCCTTAAATTGCATTTGTTTATGACTTTAGTCTTTATCGTCACTGATTGAAGATAAAACTTATAACCTCTAAAAATATAATGTGTTATTTAGTGAATAAGTTGTTGGCATTCTTTTCAAGCCCTAATTATATATCAATAAAGTTATGAAATAAACTTGCACATGGTTCTTTAGTACAGTGTTGATAGGAATGAAGCTTTCTTTTTTTCAATATTTTCATGAACTTAATTTATTTTTATTGTTCCTCAAATCAGTTTTCCAACATAAAATGAGCTCTCAAGTCTCAATTGAGGCATGATTTGGCCAGTTCTTTCTCCTCAATCAACTCTCGAGCTGTTTTATCCATCTTCTCTCTTGAGAACTTGTCAATCTGGAGGCCTGCCAATGCATCAAATATGTCTTTTAATGGATGGAATTAAATCACTTGTGAACAAAAATGAGGAGTGGGAATATCAACATCAATACAAACTATAAAATTTATTTGGAATTGCAATGCTATGAGTTATGATTTATATGACTCTTTCCCCCCCCCCTTCGTGCACTTTGTATACATGGGTGAGGGTTTTACAAAACTTTTCTTTTATTCTTTCAATCTTTTTCTACATATTTAATAAAATTCAAATATTATAAAAGTAAATATTTTTTTCATGAAGTCAATGATAAATAAATTAGCAAGCATGATCGGATAATACATAAATAACCCTATCTATCAAGGATACCTAATATAGTTGACATCAATTTGCCTTGTCAAATTATCATTGGTAAATTAAAAATCTAGTTTTGAATTTCTCATGCTTAAAGAAAATTCTCAATGCATCCCTGTATCGTGAGTTAAAAAAAGAAAGAAAGAAAGAAAAGAAAACGATGTGATGTGATTGCTGAAGTTTGTCAATTTTTGGTGTCAAAATCTTTTTGGACATCATGAAACAAAAGAAAGGATCACAATTTCTTGCAGGGCATGCCATTAATGTGGGTAAATAGATAAATAAATCTAGGAGTCAACATTTAAAAACCCACAAGGATAAAGATCATATCGTATGATGAATCAAGAGTTTTAAGAAACAAAAATGCACCTTGAACTATCTTCCACTCTCCTTTTTCACAAGTGACAGGGAATGAGTAAATGAGGCCAGGTTGGATACCGTAAGACCCATCAGAATACACTCCCATGGACACCCATGTTCCCTGAAAGTAACAAAGCAAACACAAAATTAACAAATAAATAACAGAAGCAACATCATCTAGAGGATTTAAATGGTGAAGAGAACCAACCTTGGGGGTCCCAAGCACCCAATCACGAATATGATCACAAGCAGAACTTGCTGCAGATAATGCACTAGACAGCTTCCTGGCTTTGATAATGGCTGCACCACGCTGCTGAACGATGCTGATGAACTTATTGTTCAGCCTAGTTAGTACAAATGAAACACAAAGTTATCATCCCACTGGTGTTTGGATGCTGGGAATATAGAGATACCAGTTTACCTAGCCGCAAAATGAATCAATTGATTGAATCATGACAGATTTAGGCTGCATTTGGAAGGTTGATCATCTATAATTGTATCCACAGCTTCTGCTAAAAATTCAACCTCTTCCTCTTTACAGTTTTCTTAAAGTTGTGCTCTTACCTACTATGATTACTGGTTTTTTCAGGATTTTGGAGTAGTTGGTTAGAACAGAATACTGAGAGTTTCAAATCAGAAGTTTCTTTCTCCAAATCTTTGGGGGGAAAGTTTACTTAATCTGACCCTTATGTGTATTGGTTCTTTCCCCTATATTTTTCTTTTTATTTTGGCTGAAGAGGATTTCTGGCATAGTGTCTTGGATTATTCTCCATTCACTTCAATAAAACTCTTTTGGGATAGGAATAGAAAGGGAAGTGCATTCTTTCTTATTTCCCAACAGGATCACTCTACATGAACCCAATACACGGACATGCCAATGATCTAATTATGTAAAATTATATTATATCTATTTTGTCAACAAGATACACTAAAAAAAGTAGTTCAAAACATGCAATTTCACAAAAAGATAAAGGGAAGCAAATTGGGAAGGCTTGAAACTTTCATACCAGTCATCATCTGCCACAGCTTGCCTGACAGTTTTCTTCCCACTACTGGTAGTGACAGTAGCATGGTTGACATCTGGATACTGGGTTGAAGAGTGATTTCCCCATATGATAACATTCTTTACATCACCAACATGAACATTTAGCCTCTCAGAAATTTGCCCTAATGATCTATTATGATCGAGTCGAGTAAGACAGGTGATATTTTTCTCTGGTATCGAAGGAGCATATTCCTTCAAGATGAGAGCATTGGTGTTTGCTGGATTAGCAACCACTAGCACCTGCACTTAACAAGAATTGGAAAGCCATCAACCACTATCTTCCATTGTCATCTCCTAAATAATTGAATGTAACAACATCCCATAGGAATATTTCCACACCAGAGTTCTCATCTTCTATCAACTGTACTAAATTTACTTCTGTTAAATGCAAATGAGACCATATATAGGTGGACACAGAACTGCAAAAGCTTGAAAGACAAACAACATGTAACAACCGGTGTCTAAAAGGAGGAAAACTTATGACGTTAAAATACATGCTAACCTTACAGTCTGCAGCAGCATGCTGCTCCAAAGCTGAAGCTTGAGCCTTGTAAATTGATACATTTTTAGACATCACATCTCTCCTTTCCATTCCTTCTTTCCTAGGAAATCCACCCAACATGACAGCAATGTTTACATCCTTGCAAGCTTCTACAATATCGGTAGTAGCAACAATACCTGTTGTGTTTATACATGTATACATATGCACAGATTAAGCTTTTGATATGTCAATATAAGAACTACGATGTGATTATTTTTATATCAGGATTGAAGGTAATATGTTGCATACCTTTAAGAAGTGGAAAAGCAGCATCAACCAGTTCCATCTTCACCCCGTTCAAGGCTTCTGCTGCTGGTTCAATATCAAGCAGGTGAAGAATTATAGGCTGATCTGGACCAAGCATCACACCCCTCGCAATCATTGGAGCAAGGGCATAGCCAATTTGACCTGTTGTTGAATCAAATCATAAGCAAAAGTAAATCCTCAGATGAAGAAGCCGCTGACTTTAGTAGAATGCAATATATTTTCTCCTTCAATAGGTTGCTCAGTCAAGCATTCTTTCCATAAAATTTTCATTCTCCCAAATCTCCAACAATACGTATGACTATACACATGCCCATATGGTAAGATTGTACTTCTACATCAGATATGAATTATGGTCACTATAAACTCTAACGGCACAAGTTTAGGACATAAACTACCTGAAAACGATGAACAAATAAAAGCCTTGGTATTGGAAGTTCACTGATGACTCACATGACAGATCAAACTGTTGAACTGAGACATAGCATTCAAAGAAGAGAACACAAGTTGATGACTTCAAAGAAAAACTATTCAATCATGACAACACCTTGATATGGATTACTAATTGATCAATCACTAGTATCAAAATTAGTCTGGTGTTTGAATTTGGTGTTACCTTTTCAAAAAAAACTTTTGGTTGGATTTTAATGGGTAAAGATGAGCAAAACCAAAGAGTGTAGTATATCTAGAAGCTAAAGATTTTGAAGAATAAATGTGAAGGAGAATAACGGGTGCTTTGAAAAGCTATCTAAAATCTCTGTGTCTGACTTCACAAATTTTAGTATGACAATATGATCACTGGATGAAAACTACATCAATAAGCATCCAGTAATGGAGAAATAAAAGAAATCAAAGAAAACTAAATTGAGCAACATGCCTGCAGCACCGGTGACCAATACTGTGACAGGTTCCTTCTCTACTTTGAGGAGGCCACACATATATCTAATGATCTTCCAAAACAAAGAGAAACAAATTAAAACAACAAGACATTTTTGGAGAAGCTCCCAAGGAACCGTTTCCATGATCACTTTTCCTGACGATATCCACGGCAAACAATCCGATCCATGCCCTGTACATATATATATATATATATATATAATATATCCATTGGAAAGAATCTAGAGGTAGTCCTCACTGCAAGGCGTATCGTATACCAAAACAAAGTTGATAAGAAATATTGCAGGTGCTTGAGAGTCTCCTTAGCAACGGAGAAAAGTATCTTCCATGTAAATTAAAATGGTATTTTAGGTTTGAATCCTGTGCTTACATTTAGTATTCAACAGTATCTCAAACAAAATTGTCTCTAATAAAATTATAAAGGAAGAATCACATTTAAGGACCTAATAAAAAATTTATTCACAAATGAAGATTAATAATCAGTCCTATAAAAAATAAAAAATAAGTGCATATTCTCATTTTAACAACAATCCACTTTATATTAGTCCTTGTAAATAAATAAGTTCATCGCTGTTTGAATGTAATTCTCCCAGTTATAAAAAGATATTTGTGTGCAATAAAAAAAATTGCATTGTAAATGAGAGAGTGCTGCTGCATTCACCTTGCGTTAACCCACCTCTTTCGCTGAGAAAAAATAACAGAAAATAGGATGAAACCTTAGAGTTAGACTTATCATGACATCTGCTTATATTTTGGTTTGACCTTTTTGAACAAACGGGTAGTCTTCACAAGTTCAAAGACCTATTAAGATATTATTTATTTATTAAAAAATTAAATGTAATAATTCATATTTGGCTTCATGGGTTTTAATTAAACCATATGACTTACACTAATAATTTTTTTTTTTTTAGAAAGTATGATAGCAGTAGCCACACTGCATTTCTACAAATGCCCGCCAAAACGCTCATGATCCTTTCAAACAAACATGGACGCATTGTTGTACGAGGCCCAACATTGGCTTTATTACTATGGGCCGCAACTCGTTATTTAATGCAATGATAAACTAGGGAAAATGACAAGTAGAGACCATAAATGAAATAAAACATAAATAGGGACCTCAAATTTTGGAAATTTCAACCAAGGATCTTGCTTCTCAATAAATGCAAATCGTCCCATGAAGCAAGCAAGTACATAGATTTGAATCGTATAAATTTGTTTCATGCGATAGGGACATCTAAATTTACTATTATGACTATGCTTATGGAGTTATTGCTCACACTGCAGAACGAAGTCTTTGTCTAGAGATTTTTTTTTTTTGGGCCACAAACATTTAGAGATTAGAATACAAGCATTTTAAATTTCTGTTAATATGATCTATGACTAAGTTATCCTACTGGGTCGGAATAATATTGTAGTGCGGCGCCTCAACCTTGACTATAAGGACACCCTTAAAGGCACCTTAAAAACGTAAATCAAAATATTAATTGGATAAAAAAAATAAGAAATTATTTTTGTTTCGCTCAAAGATCCCCCCCTGGGGCATGGGCTCATCTAACTTTTTTGCTTAGGATTTGTCAAGTCACGCTGACATTAGCCTAATATACATATGCACGCACACGCGTATCAAGTTGAATGGTTGTGTGGTGTATTTATTTATTCAATCGCAGCACGCCACGAGAACAAAGCCAAGAGCCTAAAAGATCCTACTTGAGAGTGAGGTAGGTAGGTTAGTCCTTAAAAAACAGGTGAGACTGCTGGAATTTTAAGAAAGGGAAAATTATTCGCCAAAAAAAGGGGAAAATTAATCATGTGACGTATAAAACTTTAATTTAGTTGTAATTTGATGCTTAAACTTTAAATCAATCAACTTAATTCTTATAATTTTAACTTCCTTAAAATTTAATATTTAAATTTTAATTTAATGCAACTTAACCATTATAATTTTAACACTTTTAAATATTAATCTCTAAATTTTAGAAAATAACTCTAGTTCTTATAATTTTATTCCCTAAAATATAGATATCAACATTTTAAAATAGTTAGAATTATAAAAATTAAGTTGTACTAAATCAAAGCTTAAAAGGTGAATCAATTAAAATTGATGTGAATTATAGGAGCTTCTGTTACATGTTACATGAACAATAAGTTGAGAGTTTGAATCTCAATTATTGTATATACAATAATTTACTTTGAGGAGGTCTACCCTTCACCTCCAATATTTCAAAAGAAATAATCTTCATTTTTAGCAAAGCCTACTCCTTGTGTTTATTGAAAAAAATTTAAGAATTAAATTTTAATTAAATCAAAACTACATAAACTGAATTGTGCTAACTTATACATTCAAACTTTAGAGTTTTAATTAAGTTAATCAACTGATTATTTTTTTCTAAAAAAACCATAATAGTAGAGGCGGAGATCAGGTAGGACGTACAAAGGGTATGTGTACAGTATTTTTGCATTAAATGGTCCACGTCACAGTTGCAGAATCCCCAAGTTACATAAATGTGGTACCTCCCCGCAAATGGCACCCCAGGCAGACAGAGAGTGACTCCAAGAGAGAGAAGAAGAGGAACCAAACAAAGAGTGAATCAACTGCTAGCTTCCCCTCATTAACACATTTCCATCTGAATTTCCCAGTCTCCCTTCTGAATCTCCGCCCTTGTCTACTATCCCACTTATGCCCGAAGTAAGACTCCTCTCTTCTTATTTTTGACCGCCAACAAACTACCATGTATGCGCGTGTGTGTGTTTGTACTGCAGTAGTCTCTGTTTGTTCCTCAGTCTCTTCTGTGTTTTGCCCCTTCATTGTTGTTTTCAACACTATAGGGTTACTTGTACTATGATCTTCTCTCACGTCTGCTTCCAATTCCAAGTATGCTCTTTTGTCTTCTCCTTTAATTTTTCTTTTCTAGCTCACTCTGTGATTATATGTTGTGGGATTGTTTAGTTTGCTTTTTTCCCCCTAATGAATTGTGTGAAGAAAAAAAAAAATTAAAGCTTGTCTGAGTTCATCCTTAAACTAAATGTGTTTTTGTTGTTGCTGGTAAAGGAGAAGATGGAGGAAGAAAAGAAAGAAGGGAGCAAAGAGGAAAAGAAAACAGAAGAGGTAAAGGATGAGAAGAAGGAAGGAGAAGAAGAAGCAAGCCCAGAGATAGTGCTCAAGGTCGACATGCATTGTGAGGCCTGTGCCAGGAAAGTCGCGAGAGCATTGAAAGGATTTGAAGGTCATCATTTTTTCTGTTTTAACACACACACACTCTTTAAGGATAATCATTGATTGATTAGATAGATCAGATCAAGGATCTCTAAGCAAATAACATAGACTGCTAAGCTACTGCCTAGTTTCTAAGTTGTGTTTCTTGTCAGCTGGGGGTACTTCTGATTCTGTTTCACTGTCATTGTACTAAAAACATGATTGATTGGTAACAACAACGTCGCAAGATGTTAATCAATGATGATTGTGGGAAGACAGGAGTGGAGGAGGTAACTGCAGACAGCAAGAGAAGTAAGGTGGTGGTGAAGGGGAAAGCAGCAGATCCCATGAAGGTGTGTGAGAGACTGCAAAAGAAAAGTGGGAGAAAAGTGGAGCTGATTTCGCCATTGCCAAAACCTCCAGAGCAGAAGAAGAAACAAGAAGAAGAAAAAGAAAGCAAAGACAAAGAGGCGCAGCCCCAGGAGAAAAAAGAGGAGGTAATAACTTAGCCTTTTCTTTCCCTAGTTCTGGCAAAGATTCAAACACCTTGTGTACACGATTTGAAAAAAAAAATTGAGTCCTGACATTATAGAGAGAGAGAGAGAGGGCGCCCACATGAGATGAACAGTGAAACCCCCAAGCTGTGAAGGCCGTTGTTTGTAGTTGTTTGGGGGTGGCCTAGCGGCTAGCTGACATGAAAGTAACGAAACAAGGTCAGCAAAATGGTGGCCATGGAAAGGACACGATATATTCATAAAAAGGGATAGCCTTTGGGGCTGAGTCAGACCCCACCATCCACTGTGATGGGGAATGAGTTCGATAATATGGCAACATGAGTTTGATGGTATCATAATACTGAAATCATATTCAAACTTTAAACTTTGCTAGCAGTAGAGATGGGAAAATAGGCACACAGTGGGGTGGGTAGTGGGAATGATGTGGTAATGGAACGGTGAAAGAGTAGGAAAGAGAAAAGGAGGAGGGTGAGATGAAAAGGGAAGACAAAAGCAGAGGTGGGGTCAGCTGATAATGAAGATTAAGGGAAGAGAACAGATGAGATCAGGCTCTTACCTTGGAGACTGCTCGCTCTGGCACGGTTCTTGGCATTTTGTGCCCTCCATCACCATGCCCCATTTCCTCTGAATTGACAACTCAACAGTAATCCCAATACCACAACTTGCTCTTGTTTTCTTCTGTGTGGGTTCTCTCTCTCTCTCTCTCTCTCTCTGGTGTCCATAGTAGTATGTGTGTTTTAATGTTTCATGTTTCATGGATGAAATTTGATGACTTTCGCTCAGGCCCCACCTGTGGTAACAGTGGTGCTCAAGGTTGGGATGCATTGTGACGCATGTGCTCAAGATATTCAGAAGCGAATCCGCAAGATTCAAGGTATGTAGTATGCACCCACCACTCACGTACCAACTTAACTAGCTCACTAATTAATTATTCATTGCTAGTACTACGTACCTCCGTTTTCTCTTTGATTCAAACAAGTCTTTTGCATCTATCAATGTTTTGAATTGAGTTGAATGAAATTCGTGCAGTGTTATCGTGAAATGGGCACTCATTCATTTCCCTTAAGTTGATTATAGCTTGTTTTACCATTAAGCCATTGAGTGTGGACATGGTTACATATAATTCATGTATTCTAAACATGGAAAAATACAACAATAGGTCTCATATTTTGTTTTTAATTTGTTATTAACGGACTCTTTAGCTTGATTCATATATCTACAACATTAGTTTTTATATATAGTTAAAGTTGTAACAAAGTTAATTTCGCTAACATACTTAACTTACCATTTTCTTTGCCTTGAATGCCTCCCGGACACATCAACCATATAGTGTTCCCTTAGTTATGTACTTGTATCAGCCACTTAATGTTTTTGTTTGTCTTGGCGATGCCGACTGTCTTTTCAGAAATCATTTTCCCATTGATGAACATCCATTATGTGTTCAGACCATCACTAAAATTAACTCATTTAATATCACGTCATGTGGTTTTAAAACTATAGAAACTAATGTTACAAATAGATCATATTAAAGGATTGAAAACAATGAAATAAAGTTATAGAGACTAGAAACAAAATGCAGTCAAAATGTAGAGACCTCTTGTTGTATTTTTTTTTTTCATTAAGTATTAAAGTACAGTTCTAATGATGCATGTGTGTCTGTATAAATTTATACGAGAATAGGACAACTAATTTTAGATTTTGTAAAATGTATTATAGTTTCATATCTAGTTCAAAAATGACATTTTGAGATCATTTTAAGGAGCTAATTAATGTCGAAGAAGGATCTATCTTGAATTTTGAAAACGGCGTTAAGGACAAAAAATTGTTGGTAATAAATTATTTTGAACTCTAATTTCACACAATAATCTAAAATTAGGACTTCAAATTATTTTCCATTGAATTCCCATCATTTTTAATTTTTGAACAATCCTTATGTTTTAAGTAAAAATATTGTGATGCATAGCATTTTATTTTGAGATTTGTAAAGGGCCTTGGTCCTTAATTGTTATTTTTCAATATTCAAGGCTCGTCATTTTCCTAAAAATGGTCCTAAAATGTTATTTCTCCTTTATATCATGTAATGAATATAGATTATACATGAGGGTCTATCTTACAATTTTTTTTTTAAAATTTAGAACAAAATTAAGTTATATTTGACAAAAATATTTTTTTAATATTGAACTTTTATAACATTTGAACTTCACCTGTTGATGATTTTGTCATCATGGATAGACTAATATAAAAACAACCAACGTGTCATTAACAATTTAACATACTAAATGGACAGTTATTTTAAAACAGAACTAGTAAAGATTCCATAGCAACAAATAATTTAAAAAGGATGAGATGGAGACAAAATCCTGATAAAAAAGCACATTTAATTTGTTGTTTCTTTTGATGTAAAAGGAGGTGTTTTTAAAATAATTTTATGTTTGGGTGTACTAAGTCACGAGCACATAAATAACAAACCAGTCTTCTCATCTTTATAAGAACACATAATTTATGGCGCTAATGCCGTTCCTGTTAAAGGAAATTAAAGAAGCTTTTGAGTTTTTCCTTTTTTTTAGGTGAAAGCTTTGAGGTTCTCAATCCTTTCCTTTCACCGACCAATAAATAAATAAAGAAACCAACGGTATGATTCATTTATCATTATTGTCGTTTCGACTTTAATGGAATCTCGAGGATTATATTAATGCTAACTGTCTACTGCATGCCATAACTCATAAGCCCTTTGTCACTTATTGTATACTATAATAAAATGCTTGTCTCTATTAACACTAATAACAAGAGTTTGTCATTAATATTAATAAGAATTTGCAAAGATGGCTTAATTGGAAAACAAGTTTCACCCATGGCCCAAAAGAAAGAAATTATGGGCCGGGAATCTGGGCTGGCCCTCCCCCTAGGACAGGTCTGATTATCCTAATATTTACTTAAGTCTATTTCAAATTATAATTTGTCGTCTATAAAATTAAAATTTCTATACAAGTCTCAATATTTTTTTTAATAAAAATGACAGCCAATCCAATGAATTTTTTATGCCCATATACACTTATAATACTTTTTTATTTGACCATCTAATAGGGTCAAATTCAAGTATTGTCATATCAAATTGGAGATAGTTCTTTTAAATGTGTTTTCTGCATTATTTTTAAGGAAATAAGCAAAACAGGAATTCACTAAAATATATCCTCTTTGGTGGTGAAAAAAGGATACAGGTTTGAATTCTTGCAAAACTAATAACTTAGGGATAATTAGATCTTCTCTAATTATTGTCTTCATACATTTGATATTTGCTATTTTATAGATTGCATTATTGAAAAAGACTGAGATTAATTCAAGGCTGGAATTATTAAGATAAATAATTTATTTTCAAGAAGTTAGTATCAAAAGTTAGTTTCTGAAATAGCCAAACACATACTACATCAATATGTTCGAATATGTCTTTCTTTCTTTCCTTCTTCATCTTCTTTTGTGTGTGTATGAGTGTGAGTATAAGAAGCAGATTCCACTAACAACCAAAATTATCTTACCTAGGTACTGAGAGTAAAAGGCAGAGTGTTTCAATTGGATTGACCCAACAATTCACGAACCAAATTGTTAAACCTATATTGTACACCCTTTTATTATGCATTGAATCAGTATTGTGCATGCAGGAGTAGAATCAGTGGAAACAGACTTGGGAAATGATAGAGTGGTGGTGAAAGGGGCGGTTGAACCGAGTAAGCTAGTTGAATATGTGTGCAAGCGAACTGGGAAGCAAGCTTCCATAGTGAAGGATGAAGAAAAGAAGGAGGAAGACAAGAAAGAAGATGATAACAAGAAAGAAGATAAGAAGAAAGAAGATGAACACGAAAAAGATGACGACAATGATGAAACTGATATCATCAAGAGGATGGAATACTGGCCTTCCAAATACTTCACCGACTATGCTTATGACCCTCAGATCTTCAGTGATGAAAATCCCAATGCTTGCTCTGTTATGTGAAACACGCACTTCTTCTGCTTTTAGTTTTTTTTTTTTTCTTTTTTTCCTGTATATTGTTAGTTGGAAGGTCATTAACTCAAACAATTTTCTGCCCTGCTGCTACATAGTGTTTTGAGTGTTCGTAGGGCTTATGCTTCTCTTGACCTTTTTTAAGTACTGACAAAACTTGAAGCTTGAAGTGTTTGTTGCAAAATTCTGCGACAGAATTGTGTTTAGATGTGTGACTCGTTCACTTGTTATGGTTTTATTGCGAAATCTGATAGTGAACAGTTATTGAGTTGTACCTAAATTCTGTCCTTTTTAGGTATACTCTGAAAAAGGTGGATTGAAAAGACTTGTGTTGGTTTGAGGGTAGGTAAGTACTACTAAATGTTGTCCTTACGATGCTTGTAATTATCATGTTGCAAGTGAGCAGTGAGAAGAACTTTCACATTGGATGAATCTAGATTGAGAAAATGTGTTCATGAAAAACATTCTTAAACTCAATGTCTTGAAATTTTGGGGCAAGATGTGGTGTTAGACACGTCCAGATAAATGGAAGTTCAATGAGATTTCGATTTTTGTGCATCGATATTCAAATAAATTTAAACTTGGAAAGATGTATATACATGTGGAAGAGACCTACTGGCTTAATGCCTTGGGCATACCATTGATTAAGCAGAATTTCAACCACCAGATTGCCCTTCTATCTTAGAAAGATTTGAAAATTCCCAAGATGTTGGGCTAATATGCAAAAAAAAAAAAAAACTCATGTAAATATTAAAATCAGTGTGTCAAAACTTACTTTTACGGTTTTTATTGATTCTCTGAAACAACTTGGACTAGAAGAAAGGATATGAAAGTTTTGCTTTGTTGCATACCCTTGTGAAAGGGTGTTGGTGGAAGTGTTGACACGCATTACTAAACTTTTGGCATAAGGTAAGTACTCCCTTCGGTCCCATTTATAAAACATGTTTTAGAAGGTCTATTTGATCTCATTTATAAATCACGGTGCGGTTATTTAAATAATCTTTGAAAAGTATTTTCAAAATTATTATTCATAAAAGAGAAAAAGTAACATAACAATATTTTTTAGATTTGTTATGTAGAGGCATATTTGAAATTTTACATACTTTTATTCCTTTTATCTTTTTTTGTATTGATATTGTTGAGGTTGGTAAAAATAACTTATAACGATGACCGGAGGAATACAATGTAACTATTAAGTATTCAATGCAGAATTTTAAACAACAATGATTCATCATTATAGAAAAAATGAATTGTATATATGCCAAGATTGGATAAGATAATGACTTGTGATCATGATAGATCTGAAAGCACTACATTGAGCCTGCAATTTGGACATGCAATTATCAGTTGGTGGAATTTGAAGAATTTTTTGAGCATGCTGCTTGCGGCTTTGTTTGAAATTTTATAGTCAGTCTCAGAACCTTCATTTTCTGTTTTCCTTGGCTTCAGAACACAGCAAATTTAGATTATTTGGTCCACAACTCCAAAGTGATTGCGCTGAACACACACACTGATTGACCTGCACACTAGGCTGAGATCCATGAAAGATGAGGCCATAGCAATTTGACCTAGCAACTTGTCAGGTTGTTCATGATCAACCAGAACTAAAAACCAGCTTTTGCATTTGCTATTATGGAAGGGAAACAGCTGAGTCTCCAAAACTTCATAGCAAGTCTGAAATTTCATAGTAGTAACTCTTAGTTGATAAGATCCTTTTACATGATTACAGTTTTCTTTGAAGTTGCAAAAGGAACAAATTATAAACAGAAACAAAAATTAAACATTAAACTGAGAAGCCCAGATTCACCTGATCCCATGTCAGATCTCAAATGCTAAGCTTCAGAACTCACAGTGCAGCATCATGCGTAGTAGATATTGCAGGACAATGAAGCTAGTGGCTTAGAGGAATCTGCCAAACCCATTATTGCAGTATAATCATGGGTTTTGTTTTGCGTGAGAGTACATACGCACGCACACATGTGGACCACAGTCCAAAAGGTGCAATTTCTGAACTACATTTACATTTGAAATTTTGAGCTTATGCCTAACACGGACAAACTTGGAGAGAAAAAGGGCTGATGGAGACTGATTTGGCCCAGTTTAATAGAGGTGTGGTACCACCTTACCAGGACTTCCATGGCTGACAACTCAACAATGAAGAAGGCAGAATTTGGCTCTCAACTTCTCAATGTGCTCTTTCTTCTGTTCCAATCCAACTCTAACAATTCTCCAAGGGAAAAAGCCATCCCAGAATGGTTTGGATTTTATTTCATTCAAGAATCAGGCTTGACAATATACCATACCACCCACTATGGAGAAAATCTAACCCATTTCCCTTTATTGGTTCGTCTTCTATTTCCTCATGAGAAAATTCATGAACTTGTATGAGAATGTCTACCAACTGAAAATTTAAAAGGCTTCAACCTCAAACTCCAATTTTAGTTTCGAACGAAATAAAACTTGAAAACCCAACCTGTGAATGGTTCAAGTCAAAACATCAATCATCAAACCAGTCCCAAGAAATTAGTCTAGGACCCCACAAAATAGGAAGGAAAAAACTTTGAAGTAACCCCTTCCACCACATTCCTCCATTTTAATTCCACCCGTTGAAGGTTTTTTTTTTTTGGAAGAAAAAGAATTCAACAAAAAAACTCTGAAAAAATAAGGACATACAAATGGGTTAGACACTCATAAATAGACCTGGGCATTATTTTTGTGAATTTTCAAGCACTGCTTTGACATGTGGATGCTCTTACTGTTCATGTTCCATTTTAGATTTTATTGCACTTTTTCTAAAATTAGGATCATGTCAGACAATGGAATAAAATTAAAAGGTAATTAAATTTAAAAAAAATCGTAAGTAAAGAATCTTTATGTAATCCCAAAAAAAAAAAAAAAAGCAGAGAAAGACCGTTGTTATCATGATAGAAATATAATTGGATATCTTGTTCGCTCATCCACCGGGAAATTGTTAGCTGTCACGGGGGGCCCTTTTTTGGCTGGTTCAGAAACAAGGTTCCAACATTATGATTTTTTGTTGTTGAAAAAATTCCTTTTTTTTTTTTTTTGTTTAGCTGAAAAAAGTACTTTTAAGTGAGCTTAACAGTACTCAAATATAACCTATTAAAACTAGACATTAGATAACTGTCGAAGATAGAAATATTAAAGATATGGTGTACAATAATATTTACAACATGAAAGAAAATTATTTCTGGTATACACATCAAGTGAAATACTGCATATGATTCATAAATATTATAGTTTCAGGGCTTTAATATAGCTAGATTTAAAAAAAAATCATGAAATAAATTGGATGGCAGTAAAAAATAATATTTTTATAATTCTATTTATAAGTCACTTTTAAAATATTTTATTAGAATCAAACAAAACATTATAACTCATTAACCCTATCTAATAATTTAATAAGTTCTCAACTGTATTCTTACTAAATATGCATAATTTAATTATATTTTTTTTAATATTTAATGGAGGATAAAAATGAGAGTTTTATTATGACAATTTATTGATGTGTTTTATATATGAGATCAAAAAATATTCCCTCTCTAATTTTCACCCTATAAATAAGACAAGAGGGAATAATATTTTAAAAAACTACCATTGACTTTATTTATAGGGAAATAAACCATCATTGTGTTCAATAAATAAATGATAAATTATAATTTATTAACCATCATTGTTGTATATGTCTAATTAAATCAAATTTAATTAATTAAAGATAATTTTTCAAAAATATTTTTATATTTATGTAAGCTTAAATTTGAGACTTTGTATTTAAGTAGTTGTAACATCTAGTGTTATATGGGTTAGTCAAAACCATCATTGTTTTGGTTGTCACTTGGTGAATCTCTCCATATTGGGCAAAAATTCTCCACCATTAACAGGCGCGTCTTTATTTATTCTCTCGAGGCATTGAGAACGCCGATGGGGAAACTCTTCTGTCCCAACATCATTAACAAACTCTACATACTTCGATTCATATATTAAAATTATAGATATTAAATTGTATTGAGTTAGAATTTAAAAACTAAATTGTAATTAAATCAAAACTTTTAAATTGAATTATAAATAGTCAAAATTTTATAAATGAGTTTTAAAAATCAATGCAAAGATAAAATGATTGATTTTTTCTAAATATAAATTAATGGATAATATAGCAGACCATATATAGTTGCCAAAAAATTATTGTGAATTATATATGGAAAATTGAGTGAAGAAAAAGAGACCCGTGAACAATGGTTTGGGACCCACAAGAGAAGCGTTTGGTGTGGAAGATAAGATGTGGCAGGCTTTCAAGCCAGGACTCTTGGCGTGTACATTTAGAAAATGAAGAAAAAAATACAGAAAAAAAAATAATTTTCAAACCTTCCACTTTGTCCACTTTTTATTATTAATCTGTATATTTTTTTAATATATTAAATTTTTATTTTTTTTATTTTTTATTATCTTAAATTTCTTTATAAACAAAGTGTAAAAATTTTAAAAATATTTAAAATAATAAAAAAATATAAAAATTTAAAATATAAGTAAAATGTAAGAATTAAAAGTTACGTTTTAAAAAAAAATAAGGAGAGGAAGAAATTGATTAAATTATTGAGCCAGACAATCTTTGGATAACAACTTTTATGGAAGCCTAGTTTACCCAAAATTGATTGATACCATTGCTAGACTAGCATACTAAACGACAGGTGGTAGATAAATACGTGCAAGGACTTCAATCTCAGATTTTCATGGCCACGAAAAAGAAAAATCAAATTTTGAGGAACTAATTAATTACTACTAGTTAAATGTAACCAATAATTTCCGTATGAATAAATTTGTGCAAAATTAAAGAAATTGTGTACACACACTTGAATTGTATCAAAACAAGGTATTGTGTTGTTTTTACTTAGAGAATAATAATTAGGTTACAAAAGATTGAATTAATAGAAGTAAAGTTGCTAACAAATTTTTTAAAAAATGAATTAAAATTATTGATTTAGATAATTAAAAATTTAAAAATTTCAATTGTGTTAGAGACATTCAAGTTTAAATTGTAAATTTCATGCTGCAACTCATACTTTTATTTGTAAAGTTTGAATCAACTTTTGTAACTTGATTTTCTAAAAATTGAACTTAACTATTAGTAACTCAATCTTTTGATATCGAATTGTTATTTCTCATTTTGAATACTTATTATTACAATATC